CAAAAATGATATCATTTTGTTAATATAATTATTATAATTTATAAATTAAATTTTTGATTGATCAAAATTAATCAATATTTTATTGATTAATTTTATATATTTTTTAAATTCTTTTAAAAGCTTTTAAAATAAATTACAAATATCAATTTTGTTTTTTTTTTTTTTGTATTGCAAGTAAGCTTTATTCTAATTTATTAATTGTGTTGTAAACAACATATATTGTACATTTCTATCCACATTTACAATTATTACAATTAGAATTCATCCATAGATATACTATCTGAGTGCAGCCTACCTATATGTATTGCCATCTCAAGTTTACTACAATACATTCTATTGATATAACTAGATGTTCTATTTGACACTGTGCATAATTAAGGGGAATTTGAATTTTGGGGCACTGGGGTAGTACTTATATTTGGCAAATAGAACACTACTCAGTTAACCTTCCAGACCCGACCACCTGTAGCTGGATGCACTATTTTCCATTTAATTTCCACCCCTTCAGGCTACTCAAGAATATTCAAGAAACTTATATCACTAGGCTTATTGCCTATTTAGGTATCCACTGGGTTACCTAGCGGTTTTACTGCTGGGCTGCCTTCTCGAGATAAGTAACTATCAGAGTGATTTATTACTGGATTGAAATAAGACCTAGCTGGTTATCTTTTGTAGGAAGAGACACCAGGTACCACGAGAAAACAATCATCAAGCTATCTTTACTGAAAGCGAACACCTCATACTCCTTGCAACTTCTGGCAATCATCGTAACACCAACTGGACAATTGTTGCACCATGATGTCTTTTCTGGAAATCACAATCTCAATGTCCACTAGATCAGCATGTGAAATGACTTCTTATAAGAAACAGCACTTTTATACAGAATATGGTGCCAAATACCATATTAATCCTTATTCAATTGTTTTTACATAAGATTGAACTGGTATCTCACAATTTGATCTGTAAAGTGTTAATCACTATACTATAAATCCACAGGTCTAATGTCAATTTTGTTAACACATCTTTTCAAGATATTTCTTTTATACAAGGCATATTAGCAAATATATTTTAACTGTGAACTTTAGTAATAAATCTAATAAAGATTCAAATCTATCAAAATTTTCTATAATTTCAAATTGTATTAAAAATATGCAAAACTTTTTGAAAATATTTTTATAATATTTTATTTTTGATATTTTATTTTATTTTATTTTTTTTCTTTAGAGGAAAAGCACATTACATGCAACAATTTTTATTAACTTATGAAACAAAGTTACAACTGTATTTGAAGAATCTGATTAACTGTTTCTAGCTATTCTAATCCTAGTACTCCCTCTAACTAACCTGATTGTACCAACTTACACCAAGTAGGTGAGTTTGTATGTCAGGCATGGACTATTTGAAGGGCATGTACCTGTTAACTGTCACTAGGGTCCTTATCACTTTCTCACCTCTGGCTCATACTTTTGCGGTATTCATGGGCTTACTTCTTTACACTTTCTAGTAAATGTTCCAAGAGTTTCCTAAGGTTGGCATAGACTATACATGTTGCTGAAATTCATAGATCCTTGACGCAATTGATACAATTATTTGATGCAATTAATTGAGTCACTATTAAAATATATAAATAATTGAGTTATGACGCAATTATTTTTAAGAATTTTGGGAATTGAGTCAACAGCAAAATAATTTACGCCACATGTATAGTACAGACTACCAAATCTGGGGTTTTTCACCAAGTGGAGTGTGACTCCTGAATCTCCCAGTAGACACTCCTTAGAATTCTTAGTTGGCGTAGGCTGCTAAATCTAGGAGCATGAATGCCAAGCAGGGCACAACTCCTGTAAAGTGGCCTTGAACGTCACTTTGCGCCAGCGATGTCCCTATAGTAATTATTTTCAAAGTTGCTTAATAGAGTTAGCAGGTTTTCTTTTATAGTCTCGTGGACTATAGGAGAAGGGAAGTGACCAGCGTGGGAACCGGAAAATACACCAAATATAGTGTGATCATCATAACACCAACTGGACAATTGATGCATCACGACACCTTAACTGGAGATCACAATCTCAATGCCCACTGAATCAGTATGTGAAATGGTTTCACATGAGAAATAGCACATATTAGGTTATAGTGCCAGATACCATTTGGTACTGTTCAACTGCCTTCATATGGATTTGAACCAGTATCTTGTAATCTGACCTGTGGAGCACTAACCACTGTGCTATGGACCCACAGGTCATTATAATTTTATAATTATTAATTTAAATTATATAAAATTATATATATATATTGTTTAATATCTGATCTATCTGGTCATAGTCCAGTAGGTTAAGGCAGGATAGGGCTAATTTATAAACCACAGTTCAACCCCAGCTGGAGGCAATTCATACTGTATATTCTAAATGGAACTTTGTGTCACTGCTTCTGTAACTCATGATAGAGAGCAATTTGGGTTGTTCTGGTGATCAAGAAGCCTTATGGGTAGATTACATCCTATAGGTCAAAAGATAGATGATCTGATTGGTAAAACTTTCTGATTAAGTATTGCCTGGGAAATACCACCAAAAGGGGGAAGAAGTTTCATGAAATCTTTCCAGTAGTGAAAGGAAAGGTACAGACAGCTAAAACCATTAGTCGCACAACTATCAGTAAGAGTTTCACATGTCCGTTGGTAGCGAGGATCCAGTTGGGATTGCAGGAGGTCGACTGTATTACGGGATGTTCTATCCTAAGGAGTATACTTGCGACGGTTGACTGCATGCCCCCATAAATTGTAATCTCCCGCATGTATTGCTAGGTTAGATTAGGAAAGGTGAGGCTGGGTCTGATTCCCAGACGAATTTGGTATACTGGTGTACTCTCATCCCACCAATGATATCTCACTGACTAAATCCTAATAAGTCTTGGCTAAACTGAATGGTTGAAATACTATAGTAGTGGTTGTAAGCAATGATTATTCTGGCATGATAGCAAAGGTCTGCTTGCTTTAAAATAGCAACTTTCCATCCCACTGTCTATACTGTTGTAGTGCGACATGATGAGTCTGTCGCTTCGATCTGGTTTACGCTGTATAACAGTCGTAACTTGTCTTTCTTTGAAATAGGCGTGTATGTTTTTGGTTGAGTATATATTGTGGATCTGTTAATTTATTATAGTTGTATCGAATGACCAACCTTTTCTCAATTGCTTTATTTGTTACTTGTTACTTTTACACTTCTTTACTATATACTTGATATACCAAATATACCAAATATACTTGATATACTTAATATATCTAATATACTTGATATACCTAATATACCTAATATACCTAATATATCTAATACACCTGATATACTTAATATACTTATTATATCAAATAGATCTAATTATCTTTTTCTTATTTATCTATCTTTTTGTATTACTATTTTTATCTTTAACAATATAATTTATATTAACTTGGGCCAAAATAAAAATATAATTATAAAAGGGTTTTTATTATATATTCTTATATATGGGTTGATTATAGACAGGTTCTACTGTATATCTAAATAAATATTAATAATTATTTTAAGTATAATGGTTGATATAAAGATTTGGAATTTTTTATTATAGAAAAAAATTTTTAATTTATTTATACTAATTGCTTAAATTTTGTGTACACGTTATTTAATATAATGATTATAATATATAAAAAGCTTAATAATCAATTTTTTTCCTTCACACTTAATCACTTCTAAAAGTTGGTTTTTTATACTTGTTGCCAACCTAAGAAAAATATTTGAATTTAAACTTTCCTATTCTTGATAATTTATTAACTGAAATTTATTTATTAAAAGTATTTTTTTTTTATTAATCAAATATTTATCCTTTTTTTGATCTTACCTTTAAATATTGCCTATAGATTTTTAATTGGATTCAAATCTGGCAAATTTGAGAACTAATCAAAAATTTGAATTTCGTAGGTCTTAAAAAAATCTTGCATTCCATCTGCTGTATGGACTGGAACATTATCTTGTTGAAAACACAACCTATATCTCATTTAGGAAATGTGAAGTAACAGGTAAATTTCTAAAATTTGGCAATATTTTTGTGTATTCAGGTTTTCTGTGAAAAGAAACAATGAAATTGATCCCTATACAGAAAATATATCCCAAGTATGAACTTTATAAGAATACTTTATTAAGCTATGATGTGGCCATAGGCTTCCATGATAATGCCTCACTAATTGGATATTCTGGAACATTTGAAAAGTTATTTTGTTCAAGAAAATAGTGTAGGTCCAATTGTTATGAATATGATTCTGAATCTATTCAAGATAGGCAATAATATGAGAAGAATAGAGAAGAGGAATCTGAAATAGGTAGCAAACAATGAACTGAAGGTTTTTTTTTAATATGCACTAGATAGTGTGAATGGAAACCTTTGTATTGAGGTTTTTTGAACAAGCCTTTCAGTCATTTCAGCCACAGTAACAGTATTATTTATTTGAATGATCTGGTCAAGATGATATTTTTGTGAAGATAAGAGAATTTGAAATTTTCCTGGAATAGGAAGTGGTGTGACAGTTGATCTTTTTTTTAAGCTAATTGACAATGTTGTACACTGTAGTTTCAGAAAACCTGTTATTAATATAATTTCAGCTAGCTTCAGTATATTATTAGTTCAAAGCTTACTTATAACTGTTTTTTGTATTGAAAGTTTAGAATCGTGTAACATTTTCATTTTTTTTATTAAGAGGTGCAGGAATAGATAAAAAAAAAAGTAAATATGACATATAAGACTTTGATATAAAAAAAAATTATGCCAATTTTATTATAGACGTCAATAAATTCGAAACGATAAAACGCAATTCGCCCATATTGGAGTGCAAAAAAAAAACGTATACACAAAAATCAAATAATTAAATTAAAATTCTACGATAATAAATTTTTTTATAAACAATCTTTCTTGAAATTTAAAGAAATCTGCATTAAATTATTTATAAAAAGAAGTTCTCAGGTTTGAATTCTATTAAACCAAGAACCATAACCAACAAATTAAATATGTCATTACGCCAACCACACCAATATCCAACAACGCTTTGCCAACTGATTTCCAATATTGTCCCTTCAACAATATCAAATCACCTCTTTGTTGGTATAGATGCCATTGTGGCAAAGACTCGGTAGTACGACGAATCTTAACAAACGTGTGCGAGAATATACATAATAATGTAGTTATGAACAAAATTATGTACGATATGTAAATTCGAATCTGATTTGGGAGTAAACATTGTTGATACGCAAATGTTATTACGTGTTGATTCGGTAAAGCGGCGGAATCATCCACAGTTTGTGGGTTGTAAAGGCTTAGTAAGACGAAGCCGGGTCTCTCAACACCCTAAATAAATAATATAATTAATTTATGCATGTAAAGCGAAGGTTATATTGCATACAAATATTGAATCAAAACTCACCATGGCAAAGCTAAAACTGTTGACCGAAACTTCAAAAGCATTCCACTTCTCATGAGTTATCTCACAATAATCATGATCATCGCCACTAAAAATTAATTTCGGTTTTACATTGTCTAGTATGAAATTTGTTAACGGCTCATCCACTAAATTCTGGTATTGGTAACCGGTATTTTGGTTAATGTATGAACTTCCTTGTCTTTGCGGTCCGCAATCTTTATTTGGCGGCCGGTACAGTGGTACATGTGTCATGAGTATTCGAGGAAATTGATTCGAGGTATCTAAACAATTGCTATTAATGAGTATCCTTTAATTTTTTTTTTTTTTGTAAACAATCTATCATGAATACATACCATTAGCAAGTTCTCCTATTATTTTGAGTCCTTCTTTTCTTATCGACTCATCAGAACCACTCAGTGTTACGGTGTCAAGTACGACGATCGAATGATTTCCCAAATTGACTTTATAATTGGTTTTCCCAAATGTTTTACGAAATCTTTGGAGTGCCCCTCGAACCAATTTCTCACCAAATCCGACGTCATGGTTTCCGACCAAATGGAAGATTCTTTGTTCTGGTTTTTTCGGCAGAAATAATTGTTGATACCGATATAATTCTATTTCCCATCTAATTGTTGCCCATAGAAATTATATTAATAACTTATTATAGAAGTAAATTCAATAAGCAAAAAATAAATGCTTACTTCTCATCATCCCATTCTCTACCACCATCCATTAGATCACCCATGAATATTACTGCATCGGGATCAAATATACTTTGCATGTTTATCCAATTCTTTCTCATGTACATATCAGGATATATTTCGGATATTTTCTGTAATAGACCAGTCCGACCATATGAATAATCATCAATTATCTGGGGATCGGCAATTAAGGCGATTCGGTATGGCTCAGCCAATGATTTATCCTGCATTCATTTAATGTAATCGAAAAACACTATCGCTTCGGAACAATAATGACAACCAAGATTCTATTTAATTACCCATTGAACACTCTCAGGCCAAGAACATTTTCTCATGGCATACTGAAAGATCAACACCTCTCCCACCAACAAAGCACATATCCATATGGTTCTAAAAGCGCTGATCGGCGATGGATTTTGAAAACATTGTCTCAGGACGGCACCTAACAATCTTTGTCCGAGTTTTTTTACCAGGAGAATTGGAAATCGACAAGCTTTCAGTAAAAAATTGTTATTTGAGGGCGATTTATAAGCGATCGATTTGTGAATTTGCATAATAGAACGAGTGGAAAATAGGAATGATAGCACAAACAAGATATAAGTGAAATTTGTGTGGCTGTCTTTGCCTTATCGGGTTAATCAAAATTTTTAATTGCACGACGATAATGACACTCATTATTAAGACATATGACCAAAAACACATTACAGAATTAGGAATTTCTGCATTTACTGTATATCCATTATTTTATAAACTAAAGGTAAGAAAAGATTCGTTCTGCTCGTGTTGTTTATTTTCTTTAAAATTGTATTGTTTAATTGTTATCTATTTTATTGTTATTTATTTTGCTCAATTCTTTGATTTTTTATCTTCACCTTTACCATTATCTTTACACTCACTATTATTTTTATCTTCACCTTTACTTCACCTTCATTCTTATCTTTATTTTATCTTTATCTTTACTTCTATTTTCACTTTTACCTATATTATTATTTTTCAATAAAAAATAAACTTAGAAAGAAACTTTATTCATTGAAAAATATTTTTTTTGTGAATTTGTTGAAACTATTATAAAAGATACAAAATAAACTCATCAGATTATTGTTAACAAGTTTCAAAGAAATTGTATTTTTATTATTGTACTTTTTAAACAAAAAAACAAATGGTTAAATTATCTTGAAGTAATATCTTTTTTAATGATATTATTTTATTGGAAAAAGCAAATTTTATTGCTTTATAATTAAATACAAATAATAAAATTTTTTAAAAAATTTAAATAATTGGTTATTTTAATTTAAAATTCAATATAATATATGTATATCAAATTAAAGACCTGTGGATCTATAGCACAGTAGTTAGTGCTCTGCAGGTCAGATCATAAAATAATGTTTAAATCCTTTAGGAAACTAACGTGGAACCTCAAAACTGGAAGAAAGAATCGATATTTTCTGATTACTATTATAAGATACTAAACTAAGTTCAGTTTCAGGTGAAGGCAATTGAACCATCACAACATGATATCTGGTGCCATAACCTAATATATGCTGTTTTCTATAAGAAGCCAATTTAAATATTGATTCAATGGGCATTAGAATTGTGATATCAAAAAAAGGTATAACGGTGTAATGATCGTCTGGCAGTATTATGATGATCATTGTCAAGTTTGATGCTTTCCCATTTATTATGCATAGAGCATATTTCCTTATCTCTTTAGTCCACGAGACTATAAAAAAAACAATACAGTTTTTTAAGTGATCAAAGCTAGAGCCACAAAAACTTCTTGTTGGATATGACTTAGTCCATAGCTGATTGTATTAGGATATGATTCTTCGAGTTTCTATTTATCAGATGATGGATGGAACTAGAAGGCGTACATCCTGACACATTAGCACTTTACCTATGTGATTAAGATTTCGGTGCTGGTAATATAGAAAGAATAGAGGGTAATAAGTCGACTAGTAGATAAAATTAATCCAAATTTTAGATAGTTTTACTTGAAAATTAATGATAGTAAATTTGTATAACACAAATTTGTACATATTGCACAAAAGATAATCTCGTAAAACAAAATATATGCCAGTTGTTAAAAAATATATATATATTAAATTAAATAATAAGATAAATAACACAAATTTTTTTAAAAAATTTCCTTTTTTAGTAATTATCTTTTAAAATTAAAGAAACAAATATTTTTCTCGCCTTTCAACTTTTCAAAGTCCTTTATACATCCTTTATTTTCATTACAAGAATCTCAAGAAAACTAAAGAAATATATTGATATATCAGAATAGAATCTCTAGTCAAAAAAAAGCAAGTTTGAAAACCTTGCTCTTTTTTTTGGATTGCATAAGGAAAGGCCCGTGGCAGTTATTTTTTTATAAATCTTTCTTGGAGTTCTTCCCATTTTCACTTCTTAAAAATACACATTTCTTATTAAATAACTATATTCTTTTCTTGGAGATCTTCTTTGCAAATCAAAAAACCAAACCATACATTAAAAATGTTTATATTATTGACTTAAAGAATCAACAATATATTCATTGTTTATTTCTTACTATCGCCAACACAATTTGCTACATCACAAAAATCACAAACTTTTTTTCAAAAAAATTTTCACAAAAAAACTGTAATTAGTTTACTCCTGTCAATTGATCAACATTTCAAAACCAATCAATCAAACACTATTAATTATCCAAACAAATCTGTACTATTAAAATACTACACACTGATCAACATAAACAAAATCTTTTTCGGCAATAAAAATCAAAACAAAATTACATTATCAACAAACAAATCAATTATACTATTAGTAAACAAACTAACCACTGGTTGTATCAACAAAACAACAACACAATTATTACAATAAACTAACTATCAAAGAAATATATCATCAATACTACTGTATACTTTGGATAGTAGCCTGGCCATTTGTAATAGGTACACACACACCATACCTCACACTAGTCAAAATGGATTTATTTAGCATAATGCCACTCATCAATCATTTGTCAAAAAAGTATATAATTCTGCTAATCAAAATTATATAACTTTTATCTTCGGCTATAAAGCGGCATATAATTTATTCGGCACATAAATGGTACACTT